CCCCAAAACCCCAAAACCCCAAAACCCCAAAACCCCAAAACCCCAAAACCCCAAAACCCCAAAACCCCTTTACGACTGAAAAAGTTGATCTTGGTAGTAATAATTTAAAGTAGAATGCACCTACTCAAAAAAAGCTACACCAGCTTAATTTTTACATTTATAATCATCCTCTGATGCTATAAATCAGGATATGGGGACGATAGAATTCCAAGATGAGGGTTTCGTGGTGGTTGAGTGAGAGACGCAAGCCAGCAGGGTATGCCATGCCCAGATCCCTCAAATAGTTTAACGCCACACAGAGAGATTAATACTCCTAAGGTCCCTACTACCTCAACTCAGTATTTGAAGCAAATCTGTCCTTATATGGAAGGAGAGGAACTTTGTTGCGGAGATGATCAGATTTTGATAATGTATAATAACTTCAAGACGATAGACTCTTTATTCGGAGACTGATCTCTCTGTGCTACCAATCTCAAAAAGTTCTGGTGAGAGTACACATGTAGTCCTTACCAGGACTATTTTGTCGACTCCTTCGAGCAGGAGAGAGTAGAAGAGGTTGACTTCCCAGTTCTTATTCAAAAAGTCAGGGTTGAAAGTAGTGTTGTCTGAGACCTTTATAATTCATGCAAAAAAAATCCATTTGTAACTTCATTAGCAAGCGGACAATCAGCTGTAGGATTTTTGGAATTTATGGGATCTAATGCAGTGCAGACTGGGAAAGTTAAGATTAGTTTTGATTTTACGACCGATCCAGATGAGACTTTGTATATGGATATGTACCCTTGTGACCTCGAAGTCGATGGCTTTTTAGAAGGATACCCGGTAAAACAATGAACTTGTAATTATTGAGAGACTGCTTGTACCCCTGTTAATTCTAGCGCATTTCCAGGATTTTTTGACGGCTTTAATATAATTGTTATCGTAATCGTGTATGTTTCTTTGATATTACTATCAGTAATTATTCTCTTTATCAAAAGAAAATGGCAAACAAATTCAGAAGAAGAGGATAGTTTCCTGGATGATAGCAACGGCTCTCAAAAGCATCATCTACTTAACGGCAGCAAAGAATCAAATGCCCTTATGTTAGACACAGAAGATAACATAAACAACACTGTCTCTCATGGAGCCTCTATAGGAAAAATCAATAAGTCATCGGTAGATCAAAGTTTAGACCGGAGTGTAAACATCTCAAAGTAATTTCTCAATTTTATCCTCTAAACTTGGGGTTTTGGGGTTTTGGGGTTTTGGGGG